CATTTGTTTCTTAAAAAAAAAAAAAAATTTTTTTTTTTTTGACAGCCTCGTGGAAAATTTTTTCCCACCAAAACAAGGAAATAAGGCACGTGTGGGGTTGGGGGGGAAAAAATTTTCCAGGGAAAATTATTGTCATCAAACAGCCATCCATGGAAAATCAAGGCCATCAAACAGGGCCTAAGTTACAAAATGAATTGGAAATCGAAGAAAATACTTAAGACATATCCAGAAGATGCTGTAAAATTTGATGGATCTTTGGAGAAATCAATGAATGTTGCTGATTCATTGATAAATTTGGAGAAAAATGAGGAGAATTATAATGGGTCTTCTGTAAATTTGGAGAAAGATGGGGGAAAGGGAGTGGAGTGTGGCGGATGAGGAGTTACTAAAGAAGTTAATGATGAAGCATCTGGTGGGGAAGTTAGGCCGATGGGAGGTGATAGCTGAGTTGACATACTAGTTGGTCGTTTTGGTGGAGTGTACAGGAGGCAGATGAGGGGATTCCGGCTGAGTTTTTTGATAAAGGCGGCGAGAATGTAAACTGGCTTTATTTCATTTCACGTTTGATTTGTGCCACTTGGGATTTTTGTCCACCACGTGGCACATTCCGATAGTTTAGGTAGGCGAGATGGCACATTCCGTTAGTTTAGGTAGGCGGAGATGAGATGGTTGAGCAACTGGTAAGTAATTAGATAGATGGATGAGCAACGAGTTATCTTTTGTTGTTCGATAAACAAGTAATAATATAAACCAAAGTTGGGTGAGCATTCATTAAATTTACTTGGACAGATTGTGATAAACAAATGGAAGATAGTAATCGAATTTTCATGACATTATCGTCTGGAATGATCAGATTTCAATATTATTGTCGTTTTATGTGGAATTTTCAATTTAAATATTGTGACTTTGCAGAACCTGAAATTCTAATTAACTTTTTGTGACCTATAATTGACTATATAATGTCTCGACTTGACTTCGAGATTTTGAGTTCTTGCATAATTGTGAGTGAGGTCTATAATTCTTCGTATTTGACCTTAATTGAAAGCTTTAATTCTCAGTATGTAATCTTACTTGTGACCTTTAATTGTGACTTATATGAATTGTGAATGTGAACTAATATTTGGATCAGTCCTCATGAATATGCAGTGACTATAAAATTGTTGTGTACATATAACCCCGGTTTGGTTTGGTTTAATTAAAAAATAAAATTTTAATAAAAATTGATAAAAGATATGATTGAAAAGTTGATAAAAATTATGGGTTTCATGAAATGTGTGGTTAAAATTAATTTTTGACTTTAAAATAATTTTTTTTAATCTTTTTGCCTGACTTAACAGTTTGTACGTACTCGAAAAAACATAAACTGAGAAGGAAAAAGCTGCTTGGCCAGGGCCACATCCAGGACCAATGTGGCCCTGGCCGGGCTCCCCTCCAATAGGGGGGCACCACATTCCCCACCCCCACCCCTGCACCCCCTCCGATGGGCATTGGCCAAGTAGCAGAGCTTAATTGAGAAGTCACTAGGCTGTCATGCTGTTTATGGGGCCAAAGTAACAGTGTTCTAAGCCTGGTCAATGTCCAAAAACATGTTCTGTACTGTGAGTGAGGCGACAACTTGAGGGACTTTTGCACTTCCATTGAAGAAGATAGAGCCTGATTATTTGTGCATCTTTAGAGTTCAATGCTTGGCTTGGGACAGATCCACCTGTTAATTGTCTTTACAACTTTAGCATAATTAATGTATCGCCTGAGGGGATTCTTCTCGATACTTCGAAATGTACATCTAACTTGAATAGTCGGACAATATATTTTGACCTCATATTTTAGCATGTTGAAGAATTGGACACGATACCTCAATTAACTTCCACGTACTTCTGTTTATTAACTTCAAATTTTATATCTGCTACAAATTGTTGATACAATTATCGAGTTCAAGTAGTTTAGAAAATATATGATATATATTGTAAGTTACGTGATCTAAATGGCTTATTTCATTTGTAGTACTATAAATTATTAAAATTTGGCATGTTTTGTTTTTAACTTTTTCTATGATTAGAGTGGATAATCGTACTTATTTCTCGCCACGCGTGAAGTGGTCAAGAAACAATCCATAGCTGATGAGACAAGCAAGAAAATAGAGGATTCACTTTCAAACGGTGGGGGCAAGTGCTATGTAATATGTAACATCATCGTTAAATTCTTAAGATAGTGACTAGTAACATGTTTAACCGTTAAAAGAGTGCTCAGAAATACCTTAAAAGAAATAAGATGAGATCGCATGACTCGGCATGGCACGACTAAGTATTCGATTAGGTGTACATGTTTGGTATCTAAAATTTCCTTTTGTAACAATAATAAAGCTTTCATTTATATAAAGTTCCATCATAAACTTCTAATCTCAATTTTTTTTCAAACAAAAAAATTGGGGAATGGTTTTGAGGGGTTCCGTTTCTACCTTTTGCCTTTAGCTACTTTTAGAGCAATTACGACATGGTTAATTTAACCTGCCCCATTACCTTCCACAACCTTACAATTCAAAATCTTTGTATTGTCCTTTTATGGTCTCTAAAGAATGGTTCATGCTTTTCTTGGTGAGAATCTTTAATAAAAATACTTTTTTGAAGTACGCTAAGTGATCTTTTAACTACACCAAAACGGAAAACTTTGATGTACAACTACTTTATATTGTTCGTTTATGGTCTCTAAAAAATGGTTTACTTTTCTTTATAATGCTCTTTAATGATGAATGATTATTCTATTTTAGATTCAAAGTATAATTATTAAAATGTAATCATTGGTTCCATCTCTAGCTTTTTTTTATCGATTTGGTGTTCTTTATGAGATGTTATCACTAAACTTAGAAGATTCAGATCTTCACTAAATTCTTCTGGGCCAGTAAGAAATTATTTGTGCATTGATAAAGGATATAATAGTGACACACAATCAATTAAGATAGGGATGACAAAAGAATCCGTTTTATACCCGATACTCACGGTCCCATATCAAATAGGACAGATATTTTTCGCCTAACCTAGTACATGAGGTAGGGACGAGACGAGGGTCGTTGCTCCAATACAAGGACGGGGTAGTACGGGGAATATGATCCCCACCCCGTTACCTGTCCAATTTAAAGTTTATCTCAAAATATAAGTTTTTTGTATTATAAAAAGAAAAGAATTATTATCATTCCTAGAAAAAAACATGAATTTTCTACAATTTGAAAAAAATAGTGATTTTTACCAGCAAAAAACGTTAAAAGAAATAAAAGCAAAAAATTTTAAAATAAAAATAAATGGAGTGGTAAACGGGGCAGGCTCCCTCCCCCGCTCTTGTCCCGAACTCACCCCGCCTTAACCAAGTGTGGAGGTAGGACAAGCAGACAAAAATATCCAATGGGTTGGGCGATGGGAATTATTATCTCTACCTCGACCTCGACCTCGACTTCAGCCCTTCCCATTATTATCTCTAAATTAAGAGAAGAACGATTTAGACGAGTTTCCTATTCTACTTATACCTGAAGGCATTTTTTGGGCATAAGTATTGTACATGATAAAGTAAAATTATAGTCTATTTTTATTTTTTAATAGCTTATAATATCACATAGATAACGTGTCAAGAAAGTTTTATACGAGTGAACCAGTCTCAATAAAACATATTAGAAGACAGTTGATCTGGACTAACGTAATACAAAAAACTTCAATAAAAATATTATTTAATTAAAGTTATCAATTGTTTTTTTTTTTTTTTTGCTCCCTTGTTCTATTGTAATTATTTTTCTTGAGTATTTGTGCAATTTATGTGAAGTGGCATTTTCGGCTTTTGTTCTTCCACATGAAGGGTGAAATGGAAATCCACAATGAAGTGAATAATTTGAACGTTTTTATCAAATATATATATATATATATATATATAGTTGAATAAATGATAGGTCTGTCTTCACAATATTTTATAAGGTAATTTGGAATTTGAAATTATCAACTTTTGCTAAAAAAAAAACCTCCAGTTTCAGCTGAATCCAACGGGTGCTAAATAAATATATAGTATAGGGTTCCGACTTTAGGGTTTGGACGGGTTTGGACTAGTCAAATTTAATATTTTAAGATGAGACTACAGTCTAAATACAATATTACAATACATTGAATTCAAAGTAAGTCAATCCCTCTAAGATTCAAACAAGCGTTCGAGTTTTGTTATTGATGTGGTTAAGAGTTAAGTAATTTTTATTTCTAATTGTGTTTAAATAAGTTGTTTATTTCATAATTTTAAGTAAAAAAAAAATTACTTATAAGTGCAGTTTTTATGGCCAAACAAGTAGTACTGATCAGCTAATAAATACAAATACAGGCTCATTATACTAACCCTGCAACCCTCCCCCCCACCACTCCAACCCCTGCCCAACAAGAAGCTTAAAAACCCCACAGAAAAAAATAATGAAAAATCAGCTCCAGCACATAGAATGAAGCTGAAGAAAAAAGAGAAAAAAGTAGAAGGGGCCAAACCAACACCAACGTGGAGGAATTGGTCGAATCACAAGGTTTTACTATTATTCCAATTATATAATCGATCATGCAATTCTTTTACTGATTATATGTTCAACGATAACTCCAAAGGTTATCGTTTTCTGAATTTTCCGGCGAATCATCGTCTCCGGTTGATTTCATCCTAGGTGGGCTCACAAGCATGCCCTCTGCCATGTCCACCAGCAAATTCGGCATGTTCAAAAGTTCCTCCTCGTCGACAAATTCTTGTAAAACTTGATTTTCAGACTGGTTTTGTGGCAGCGCCGCCTGGTCCCCACCCTCTTGCTGCGGTGGTGCCATAGCTGCTGCAGCACTAGCAGCTGCAGCCTGAATATCGGCAGGGGATTGAGAAGCAGGCAGTGGATATGTGGAAACTAAATTCGGAAAGTTCACGGCGGTGTCGGGCCCTTTCAATGCCAAAGAAGCCACATCATAGGCTGCGGCAGCCATTTCTGGGGTGGGGTACGTCCCGAGCCATATACGCGTAGTTTTACGCGGTTCTCGAATTTCTGACACCCATTTTCCGCTCCTCAATCTGATTCCCCGGTAGCTAGGGTGTCGTCCGGACGGAGAGGCAGTGGTGGTGGTGGGTGACTGGAAGGGGTGTTCACTATTGTCGTGTGGGCTAGGTATAATTAAAGGGTTTGGTGGTTGTTCATCGTGACGTACGTTGGGATGATTGGCCATGCATTACAAGAATTAGGTTTCTTAATTTGGATTTGTGAAAATGAGTCAAGTTTTTTGGGCCTTTTAATGGAACGAATTCAGTAGAAAAAGCGTGGGGAAATCGCGGACCCCTTGTATTTAGTGGTCCAATTGTTAACACTAATTGAGTTGTTTAAGGTTTATTTTGAGGCTATAATTTTGCACGAGCTATAAATTATCTGTTGCCACCTATCTCAATTGTCACATCTCGCTTTAGTTTCCATTAGATTTCCTATAGCCAAATCAAGCTTAGTTTTTTGTTTCTTCTTTGATATTTCGTCTTGTTACAGTATACAAAATATAATTTGTATGTATATTTGACTTTAAAATCTACACTTTTCTTGGACTTTAAATCATAAATTTAACAAAATATGAACTTTTTTTCTCAAGCTAATTTTTAACTGCACATTTACATAATAAAGTTTTTGCATGCAAATTCAAAACTTTTTGCTACTTTTTAACCACGTTTTTTTTTTTTAAAAATCATTATTCTGAAACTCAATTTCCCTAAAAATACTATTTTTAATGGAAAACGAACAGGGGCTAAACTTATGTTATATCAACATTATCATCTAGTTTTTAAAAAATAGAAGTTATTTTTTAATGCCAACATTGGAGTTTTCCTATCGGAAGTTTTACAGGATTTTGCCCCCATTTTAAGTTCTTATGTGCTTTTTGGCAAATGAGCTTTTTGGTTAAAGGAAGAAACAATAATTTTTCGACAAATTTCCAACTAGAAAGTGCACTTCAATAGGAAAATGCTACGATTCTCAAGAAAGATAGCCCTAATTTTTGCCTTTATCCAAGCAAATGCTTTTAGAGAGTGGAAAATTAGATCATTAAGATTTTCTTTCTTTAGCTTTTTAACTCTTGGATTTTCAATAATTTTTCTTGTTGTGTCAATGGCCATTTTTTATAAACACTATTTAAGGATCTTTTAGTCATTTTTATGAGTTCACATACTCAATGCTAGAAGTCATGATTAAGTCCAAGTTCTCATATTTTGTTGAGTTTTGTGCTTTCTTGACACTTGTCATGCAATTTGTTAGGTACATGTATGGATTTTCAATTTGATTGTGGCCAAATGCAAACTCAAAGTGGCATCTATGTCCGAGGTGGAGCCGAGGCCTTTATTTTTGCTATTTAGACGAGGTTTCTGATTTTTTTTTTTATCGAAGTGCTAGGGCATAGGCATTTTACTAGATGGTGCTTTGACGGTCGAGGTATTTTATGCTTTGGCCGGGCCTTGGGGATCTTGATGCAAGTGCTAGTGAACATGCTGGCATGTAATGTTGCCCTTTTGAGGTTGATGTAAGCCATCGCGAGCAATAATTATTTAAGTACTAACATTAGTCTCCTAAGTTCAAGTTTTATATTTACATAGAATGAAGGCAGTGGCGGACTCAGCACTCGGCGAGCCCCGACGTCCGCGCGTGCGGGATCCGCACGCAACAATTTTTTTTTTGTTGACAATTACAAGATTTTTAGGTTATATAACTGGTAATTCATTTCAATTTCAAACATTTCTTGTAGCTCAATTGGTTAGGACTCTCATGTTTATACCGGACGTCCCGATTTTGAATCCCTTCCCAATCAGATTATTGTGAAATGTTTTTAGTTTTACAAATTTTACTAAAATCAATGGAATAGAGAAGGGAATTGAAACCGTGAGCTCCCATTCAAATTACTGAAGTTTCATCGTTGTGGCATTGTTGAATTTGCACTAAATGTATTAGAATAATATATGTTACATTTTAGAGGTTTTAATGTAATTGTAAAAATTATAAAACATGCTCTTCATTTAAATTATAAAAAACTTAGCCACAATATTATTTGGTGAATATTGCTAATTTGTACAACAAAATTATATATGTTTAGTTTGAACAAAATAATTGTTATATTTAAATTTTAGACTTTGTTTGATTCCCTATATTTTTTAAAATATATTTTTCTCTCTTCTTTTCAATCATATTTTTCAATAAAATAATATTACATGCAAATTCAAAACTTTCCCTTATTTTTAACTACCCGTTCTCCATCAAATCACTATTCCAAAATATATTTTATTTTTGCCAAAAATGGACATCAAACGGGGCTCTTAATATTTTATTGCTGCCAACGGTCACCCATGCTGAATCAAAATCCTGTATACGCCGCTGAATGAAGGAGTTTAATACTCTTGCTTTTGCTATTGCTGAAATACTAACTATCATTCATATCACTTGACTACGCCCAAAAAATAACGTGGTAGTTTAGCACAGTTTTGGGGTGTTGTATCCACAGAGAGATGGAAGAATATTTAAATGATCAAAAATTTTGAATTGTTCTCTCAAATATGTAATAAAATTCAATGTTGAAAGGTGAAATTAAAATCAATCATTCAAAGTAGTGAAGCGTCAGAATTCCCTCAATTGGATTGGATCAATCATATCAATTATTCATTTTTATAATACAATTAGAGGCTTTCATCCCGACACTCTAATCGGAAGATATATCGTGAAAACTAATTTAATTTTCAAATGTAATTCT